GCCTGCCCCCTTCCGCGCCTGCCCCCCTCCCCGCCGGCCCCCCTCCCGGCCGGCCCCGGGCAGGCGGGGGGCAGGCGGGGGGCAGGCGCGGGGCAGGCGGGGGGCAGGCGCGGGGCAGGCGGGGGGCAGGCGGGGGGCAGGCGCGGGGCAGGCGCGGGGCAGGCGGGGGGCAGGCGCGGGGCAGGCGGGGGGCAGGCGCGGGGCAGGCGGGGGGCAGGCGAGGGCAGCGGAGCGAAGCGGGGTCCGAGCCAGGCCGGCGAAGCGCCCTCCCTGGGACTCCCGCCAGCGCTGCGGGGCGCCAGCTGTGGGGGCGGAGATTTGAAAGAACAAAATCAACAAGCGCGGGGAGACCTCTAGTGGTGCCCCCGGTAGTCAGGGAATTCGGGGCGGGGGGCTCGTGGACACCGCAGAGCAGGCAGGAGTGGCCCGTCGGGCAGGACAGGCGGGGCCCGCGCCCCGGGGTGCTGCGGGCTGGCTTGTGTCCAAAACCCCGGCGTAGGGCTGACTGATGTATTCCGGGCGGGTCTGCGTTTAAACACCGGAGAACGTTAAGCGTTTACTAGTGAAGCAAAGGAAACTGAAGCCCCCCATTTCCGACCCTCCCCCTTGAGTCTCTGGAAGGTTTACTGGAGACCGAGCGCGGCCGAATGTTTGCAGTCAGGTGACAGGTAAGGAGAAATCGATGATGTCACCTGACCTCCCACACTGGGGATCTGGGCCTTTCAGACCTTCAGTCCAGGGCTTTCGGGGTACCTTGGCTACACCTCTGCCTTCATGGATACTAAGAGTTTCCGTGTTCAGGGTAGCTCAGCAAGCACTGCCTCCTTGGAGAAATCCTTGCCTTGGCCTTGCTCAGCAGTTGGGGTCTCTACTCCGTCGTATTTGGTGATTGGTGTGGACTGCGCCCTCTGTGCACCAACGGAAAATGAGGGGACAATCAGTGGGCATGTTTCTGCGCCTCAGACTTCCCACAAGGGCAACTGAAAACACAAAAGGAAAGTTAACAAAAGCTGTGCCAGGGCCTGCCTGCCTTCTCTTTGGTCTTCCTTTTTCTCCCCGTGCCTTGGTGATCCGTGCGATGAACAAGGGGCATGAGCTTCTTCGTGGGGCGATGGCACCCCTTTTCCCCTCCTTTCCAGAGACCCCGAGTGAGCATGGTCTTTCCTTCTGCTCACTCCTTGTGCTGATGCTGCTTGGACCTGTACAGCTTGAAGGGGAAAGAGGAAAGCTGTGTGGAAGAAATCCAGGAACACACCCCGCCTCTCCTGTGTGGGACCCCGAGCTGGGCACCTGGATACACCCCACACTCCAGTAAATCCTCTACAACGGACGACTGCCCTGCTTCCTGGGTTGTCCTAGGATCACACAGCTGGGAGAACAAGGTTTATCAGATTTTTCACTAGTTCACAAAATCTTAGCCCAAATCTTTTTTGCGCCTCTGCTGTGAGAAGGATTTCTGAATGGTAGACCATAGATCCTGCCAGTCTCGCTTACTCCAAGGTCGGCTCGAACACCAGCTCCGATTCTTCTCCAAGGGGAGGAATATGCACTTCTGTCTCCAATTTCCTTTTCTTTCAACTTCTGTTGGGACTTCTAGGCAAGGAAGACCCTGTTAAAATTAAATACAAAATAGAGACCAGGCAAAATCTATAAGGAACTCACCAAACTCCACACACAAAAAACAAACAACCCAGTGAAGAAATGGGCAGAAGACATGAGCAGGCACTTCTCCAAAGAGGACATCCAGATGGCCACCAGACACATGAAACGATGCTCAGCATCCCTCCTCATCAGGGAAATACAAATCAAAACACACTGAGATACAACCTCACTCTGGTCACAGTGGCTCAAATGAGCAAATCAGAGAACTCAAGATGCTGGCGAGGATGTGGAGAAACGGGCACCCTCCTACACTGTTGGTGGGAATGTAAACTGGTGCAGCCCCTCTGGAAAACAGTGTGGAGGTTCCTCAGGAAACTAACAATAGAACTCCCCTAGGACCCAGCAATAGCACTGCTAGGAATTTACCCAAGGGATACAGAAATGCTGAGGCATAGGAGCACATGTACCCCAATGTTCATAGCAGCACTCTCCACAATAGCTAAAACATGGAAAGAGCCTAAGTGTCCATCAACAGATGAATGGATCAAGAAGATGTGGTTTATCTATACCATGGAATACTACATGGCAATGAGAAACAATGAAATCTGGCCATGTGTAGCAACATGGATGGACCTTGAGGGTGTTATGCTGAGCGAAATAAGTCAGGCAGAGAAGGACAAATATCATATGTTTGCACGTATAGGAGGATTAGGAGGAACTTAATGGAGGACCGTGGGGGAGAAGAAGGGGGGAAATGGTGGGGGAGAGGGAGAGAGGCAAACCATGAGAGACTCTTGAATACTGAGAACAAACTGAGGACTGATGGGGGTGGGGGGGAGGGGGTGATGGGCATGGAGGAGGGCACTTGTGGGGATGAGCACTGGGTGTTATATGGAAACCAATTTGACAATAAACTATTTGTAAAAAAAAGAAAATGCAAAAAACAAAAACAAAAAATAGAGACCAGGCTTAAAAATTGCCTGAGCAGACAGAACAATGTAAGCGATGTAAGTCAAACTAAATGCAACTTATCTCATGAACAGGAGTGAAACATGGGTCACTTGTAAATGCCTCTGACAATCCTGAAAGAAACAAGTCATCTTCTTAAAAATGGTATAAGGTAATCATTTTCAACCAATCCCCTCCCATGTGGAAATCGCCACTGTAATACCCAGTCGCTGTAAAAATTAAACAGCTTCCTCAGACCACGTGGGTGCCTCAGTGGGCTGAGTGTCTGACTTCAGCTTAGGTTATGGCCTCATGGTGGTGAGTTTGAGCCCCGCATTGGGCTTTCTGCTGGCAGCCCAGAGCCTGGAGCTGCTTCAGATTCTGTGTGTCTGTCTCTGATCTCTCCTGATTGTGCTCTGCCTCTCTTTCTCAAGAATA